TGCTTTCATGGGCACCTGCACTAAAATAAACACACAGCTCTCAGGGGTACGCCTGTCAACCCTGGTTCGCTGCTATGGCTGCCCATTCATGGATCTCCCATGAACACAAAGTCAGGCAGACATTGAGCCTCAGGAAAAATAAAGTGGATTTATCTGACGGCAGGAGACCTGCACAAGAATGCTCAGAGGACGCTGCCATTCTGCAACACACTGAACTAACACTCTGTTTACAAAACCGGCACAGGCATGAGTGCTGAGCCCCGAGCTGGATCATCTTCTAGTACGAAAAACACAACCCACACCACATGGTCAGTGAACACCAGACTCACTTTAGTCTCCCATCGTAGTAAGCAGGGGTTCCTAAGACGATGGTTTTAATGAAGAACGGCTGATTGGTGTGGTTCTCTTCATATCCGCCCACAATACTGAAGCCCCAGCTTCCCAAGTAGCTTCTTCGTAGGACTATATCATGGCAGCTATGAAGGGCACTGTCAAAGACACAGAGAAAGCTGACACGGAGGCTTCTCACTCTCCATCTTTGTCACAACAGGCGTAGAGAAGTTAGTGCTTTTGTGCTTGTGTACCTGCACGCTAGGGATCAAGCCCAGAGCCCCACATGTGTCTGTTATTATTTTGATAACCCATTCTCTGGCATGATGCAGTGCTAGACAGGTTCACTTCCTCCAGCTTCTCTTGCCAAGTGAAGACATGAACACACGGAGGAAGCCTACAGCCTGGCTGCCAGTTATACTGTAGAAACGTGCACAGAGATCATGGACTGGTACTCCTCACAGCACCGCGATTCTAGTACTAACCGCACCTCGGCACTGAGTACAGAGAGGTACAAAGGATATTTACATTACAATTCACAACAGTAGAAAAATTACAGTTATGAAGTAGTAATGAAAATAATCTTATGGTTGGGGTCACCACAACAGGAGGAACTGTATTAAAGGGTCGCAATGTTAGGGAGGGTGAGAACCACTGCTCACCTGGCCATGGTGGATGTCTGTAAGTTTAAGGCTAGTCTGGGTCTACAGGGCGAGTTCCAGGACAGCCTGGGCTGTCTCAAAACCTCCTCGGCCCTGTCAACAAGACCATTGCTCTAGAAAGCTCTGATGACCCAGGTATCAGCTGAACAAGGTTTGTGAGGTTCCCTAGTTTAGACTGTAGCTCTGCAGCAGTTTGATAACAACCATTTACATCGTTTTTTTAAAAAGGACTTACTTTTATTCTATGTGTATGGGTGTTCGCCTACATTTATGTTTGTGTACCACATACATGTACAGTGTCAGTGGAAACCAGGAAGACTGTGTTGTATCCTCTGGACCTGGAGTTAGAGATGGTTGTGAGATGCTATGTAGGTGCTGGGAATTGAACCTGGGTCTTCTGCAAGAGCAGCAAGTACTCTGAACCACTGGGCCATCTCTCTAGCTCCTGATTTCCACTTTCAATGCACTGATAAACATGCACGGCATCATTTTTGCTACTATAACCTCACTCCATAAGGTCCTGCGATGTCTACGAGACATGAATTCTAGGCCTTACAATGAAAAACAAAACAAAATTCATGGGAACAAGCTGGTCAACTCGACTATCAACAAGTAAAATTCAATACCTATGACATTCTTGCTGTCCTTACAGGACAGAACGTCACCAGGCCTGCACTGTGTGTAAACGCTCCTCACTGTAAGTTACACCCACATGAGTCAGAAACTCAGAAACTGTGCATTTTCTGGTCTATTTTTATTTAAGAACCAGCAGTCTCATATTTGGCTAATAGTTAAACATGATTCACAATGCTTTTTATAGATAATGAAAATCTAAATTATTTTAGATACAAACAACCATAGTTACACATACTCTTCCTATCTCAACACCAAACATCGGCTGTCTAGAGAAAGGTCAGCACCCTGGGGTGCCCGTGGAGGTTCCACTGTCTCCAGGACCCTCGTCAGCCAGTCACAGAACATGTCACTGGTCATGTGTCCCGAGTCCAATACAGACTGAGTTCTAACTACCTTTTTACAAAATAATCAAAAGTTCTTGGCTAGCCTGGGCTACAGAGTGAGACCCTGCCTTAGAAACCCAAAATTCTGTCTTTTCAAGGAAAGTTGGCTCAATGGATAAATGCCTGCAATGTAAGTATGAGGCCTGAGTTTGGACAGCCAGGACCCACATAGAAAAACCAGGTGTGGGGGTCTGTCTGCCATCCCCACATGTGGACAAGTACATATTCTATCCCTTTCAAAAAAACAAAACCAAACCCCCTTTAATGGGATCTGGCAAAATTGTCTTCTTTTTACAAGCAGATACAAATCTTTTTAGCTTAGATGTTATTCAATTTACCTAAACACTTGCTTTTATAATTTGATGCACCCACTGGGTGAGCTAACTGTGGAACATGCAGATAAAGGTTAAGAAGGTCACCGTGTAAGACAATGAGAGCGCTCTTGATACCTTGGCAGCCCGAGCCACATGACCCAGGACGGGGACCAGCTGGCGTCGTACTCATTCTCACTGAGAGCGCCTGGCTGCTCCTCTGAGGTCTGGGCTGCCTCCTCCATGATCTGGACTTCCAGGGCTTTGAGGGCGACGGCTGAAGACGCAGCGCTGGCTTTTAGCATGGCCACAGCCTCACTGTGACTGAGATTGGTCAGGTCAATGCCGTTGATATTCAGCAACACGTCACCTGTGCCGTTGGGGAAACCAGAGAACGGTGTGAGCACCACTCGACTCTCCCTTGCCAACCAATCAACAGGTCATTTTCAAGAACTCAGAAGGGATGAGGATGGGTTTTTACTTATTTGTACTTTTTTTTTGTACCACCAAGGGCACAGAGAACATTCCAAACAATTCAAAACTCAAAATAATGTCAGACTAGAGAGGGAAAGACTGTGTCTTGAAGCACCTTGTGAGGTCTGAGTCTGAATCGTTAGCCTTCGTAGCTGTATACGGGGTGAGTGCTGCTTCTCTCCTTTGAGCTCCAGAGGGCTCTATGGTTCTTTCTGATCCCCAAACTATTTGATCCTTTACTCTTAGAAATAACCTTAGCAGATTCTATTCAATATTACACAGTTTTATACACAGAAAGAGCCCCAGTGAGGGCATGCATGCTGGGATCTGAGAACAGCCATCCTCAGGCTACTTAGTGAGATAAAACATGACTTGAACATCTTCCCTTGCTTGAGTGGGAACAACATGTTTGCTGGTCTCCTGAGTAACACAAGGAAAAAGAGCTATAGAGGCTGTGTGGGGTGGCACACGCCTTTAATCCCAGCACTGGGGGGTAAACATGGGCAAATTTCTGTGAGTTCCAGGATAGCCAGGGCTGTTAAACTGAGAAACCCTGTCTTGTAAAACCAAAAAACCAACCCCCTCCCCGCCAGCTCTGGGCTCATTAGTTGGCTGAGGAGGAGCAGTACCACTGTGACTTAGAGCACTGCAGGGCAGCCTGAGGCCGCTGCTCTGACAGTCAGCCACGCCGAGCACATTTCCATACCACTGTCTTCTTGGGAGATATGTCGATTTCTGTCTTTAAATTAGGTAATTTACGTCTTTTTACTGAGTCGGAGAAGTTCTTCACAATTTCTTGATATGCCATGTACCCATACATGAACGCAGGACTTGTAAACGCTTTCTCCCACTCTGTGGGTCACCTAAAACACTGCTGCTAACTACATGTCACAGGACTTTTACTTTCATGTGGGCTTTCCCAAGTGCTAGCTTTTGTGAGGGGAGGGGGGGAGAGGAGCCTGCCTTCGTTCCTGGGAAAATAACCTTTCAGCTCCAATTTGCTCCCCACATGAGGTCCATCAGCAGAGACAGCGATTCTACCATGGCAACAGTGCTCGGTTACATGTCCTCTCCCTGCGCTAGCAGAGTTGTGAGGGGACAAAGGGCACGAGGACTCAATCTCTAAAACCAAGTCTGTCCCCCGCTACTTCCTCTTGTCTTCTGCACGAGGTCAGAGAGGACTTTCTGGAGCCTTGTCTCCTTGCAGCTCCGTCTCCAGGGATAGAGCCTGGGGCATCAGGCTTGGGCAGCGGGGGCCTCTACAGTTCAGCATCACCCAGGTCCCTGACACCTGATCATAATCAGCGCTGTATTCCAGGGAGAAGGCCCTTCAGCCTCATCTGCCGTAAGATGGATCTTTTCCAAGACAAAAATAAGCCAAGAGTCTGAGCAACTGCGGGGTCTTCAACCACCATCAGGGTTAAATTTCCTAACCTCACAGAAAAATATTATGTTTTCTACGCAAGGACACTTCAAAAGATTTTAAAAAGCCATGTTTAACATGAAACACAGTAATTACTCTTTAAAAAAGTGTGACCTTAATTTTGAGATGACACACGGCAGATCTTCCAAGAGCCTGTCTCACCTCTTTTGATTCTGCCGTCCCGTGCAAGGCAGCCATGGGGTGGCACGCTGGTCACAAAGATGGGCAGTTCACCACTCTTACTCCCTCTGCCCCCAGCAACCGTCATCCCAAGGGACTCATGCGGCTCCTTCTTTACTGTGATGTGCTTCTCCTGGCACGTGACGCACTGCGTGAGGTCCTGCGCAGGGAAAGAGGAAAAGATGGGGTGAAAACAGGCTAAACAAGGTGACGGGTTGGCGGTGGGTATAAAGGGATTGTATATTCTACTCTTTAGTGAGGACTGAAAATAGTGCATAGCTCTTTGGTTTTTTGTTTGTTTTTGTTTTTGAGACAGGATTTCTATGTGTAGCTTTGGAGCCTGTCCTGGAACTTGCTCTGTAAACCAGGCTGGTCTTGAACTCACTGAGATCTGCTTCTTTCTGCGTCCTGAGTTGTGGGATTTTGAGTTGTGGGAAAATGCCCAAAAGATAGGGATTTTAATACCATAACAGCACATGCTATTGTGTGCCTGTCAAAGCTTATGATGCCTCGATTTAGTGTTCTTATAGCTAATTCTGTCACTGCAGGCCTAACTGCTAACCATGGATTTAATCACGTTTTCATGATGCGTTTTTTTAAACAGAGGAGAGCGTGAATGTAGTCCCCCACCACAAATTATGCAGTCAAGTTTCCCGCATTTGGGGAAATCTCTGGGGTTGGCACATCCTGAGAGCAATGGAGAAGTCTCGCCCTGGGAAAACCACCTTCATGATCATGGCATCTCCCCTGCCAGGTAAGTCATGATGCATTTTTAACCGTAAAACCAGTGATCACATTTAAACATGCAACCCGAGAAGATCCGACTTCCACGTGGAAGATCACTTCTTGTCAATCACTTCACCGAGGAAGTCTCCCTGACAAGAAACTACAGAGGCCACTCTCAGGCTTCACACCCCAAACACCTAGGGCTCCCAACAGCATGACAGCCTGCATTTCAGCCCATCTTCTCAGGCTGTAGCTAGGAGAGGGTGATCCGAACTAAAGGAGGGGGCGTCCTCACCTTGTGTGAGCTTGGGCGGCTGTGAGCAGGCGGCTGTGTATGCTGTTGGCTGATGCTGTGAGCTCCTGCTTCACGGGTGCCATTGCTGGGCTGCGGTTTCCCCACTCTGGCAATTGTCAAATTCACTCTCTCTCCGCTGGCCTGGAGAAGACACATTCATTACTACCCATCACAAATGATGTTTGTGGCTTAGAGATCTCAAGTGGAACTCCCTCCCCTCCCCTCCCCTCCCCTCCCTTCCCCTCCTCTCCTCATTGAAGCAGGTTGTAACACAAGCTAGAGGCTCCTGACTCAGTCCCATAAATGCTCTAAGTAGACAATGCCTGAGACACTCACTATCTATGGATGTCTTAGTCACTGCACCAAAGCCTCATCTGGATAGTTACTAACTGGTGGCAGGAAAAAGGTCACAGGCTAATGTTTTCAAACCTCTGACACTGACACACACACAGGTGTGTGGACACACACACACATGTCTTTAAGAGTTAAGTATTTGGAGGCTTGTGGTCTGCTGTGTGTGTGTTTAAACATAAAGGTTCATACATATATTATATACAAGGTCATGTTCTCTAAAGTACATCCGACACCCGGTGCTTTTCCTCGGTCATCACCACAAACTGGTTCTCCTACAGAAACTGACAGCCCGCTTTAAGGAACCATGGTAAGAAGTAAAAACCTTCTTTGTGATTAAAATGAATGATGCTAAGAAACTCTTTTCTGAGCTGGAAAGGTGGCTCAGAGGGTAAAGGCACTTCACTGCCATGTCCGACAATCTAAGTTCATTCCCTTGGGCCTCCATAGTGGAAGAGAGCTAGCTACAGAGCTGTCCTCTGATCTCCACATGCACCATGGATGGCGCGCACACACGCAAACATACACACACGCATACACACATAACATAATAATTTACTTCAGTTTTGGCTCTTCAACTGGAAAGCAAGTGAAAGGCAACTTTAATACTATACATTAATCATTCGTCACTTTGGCTGCATCTCCAGGGTTCAACAGGTAAATGCTGAGGTGACAATTAGAATCCTGGCATTTACAGCTCTGATGACTTCACCATGCTGTGGGAGGTGTCAACGGCTGCTTGGGGTTTCCTTACAATGAACACTCACTGTCATTGATGTTAACACCTCAGAGCCCCAAATCCGCATTGCAACTTTCCTTGAGAGCTACTCTGACAAGCTTACTGGCTGAGGTAAACCCTTGCTCCCCTGAAAGAGGTAAAGCCGTGGTGCCTACACTGCACAAACAGAAGCCAAAGTACTCGGGGACACAGGTTTCAGGAAAGCAAAAGTCAACAGCAGCAAAAGAACCCTAACAAACACAGTTCTATTTGGGTTAGTTATATATAGCAGTGTGGATTCTGAAGACTTTCTAGAACCATGTGTGATTTTCCAAAGAAACATCGGTGACCCTGGAATTCTTATTTGCCAATGAAAACAGAGACAGCTGTGTGACCGACGATCCAGGGCCAGTGTTGGGCACTGTTTACCTGAATGATCTGGGCGGCCAGCTCTGGGGTCCCATGCTTCAGATCATGTCCGTTGATGGCCAGTACCCGGTCATTACTGTTGAGCCTGCCATCCTGAGCTGCCAGCCCCCCTTCCAGAAGGTCAAGAATAAAAACGCCTGGCTCATCTGTCCTTCGGACTAATTTAATCCCCAGCTGCTCCGCCGAGTCGCGTTTGTGCAGCAGCACTTGGAAGACCTCATCCCGAGGTGCGCTGCCGTCCGCATGGTTGTTTGCTCGGCTGCCGAAGCGCCTCTCCCGCAGCACGGTGAGATGCAGCGTGCTGCACGGCTGGGAAAGCACGGCCCGGGCATAGTTATGGGACACATTGCTGATATCATAGTTGTTGACCTGAAACATCAAATGAACAAAACAAAACTCCTATGACCGATGCATGACAAAATCTTATTTTCCTCACTTGCAGAAATGTTTACATGACATATCTAAAGAAAGCCAACATGGAGAAAATGCAGGGACCCCTTACCTACAAAGAAAACCACTCTAAAGGTTTCTATAGCATAGAATTTAAAAATGAACTAGCAGCACAGTGCGGAGGAGTAGTAGGGACCCGAGTGTTGACGTTAGAGTCTTTGGCGCTGCTAGATATTGATAACCTCAGGGGAACAGGGCACTCTTCCAGCACCCGCTCCTCTGGGGCTGACACTTCTTCACAGGACCAGGGTGGGAGGGAGCAGGTGGCATCACGCCAGGGCAAGCCTGCAACTAGCACAGCTCTAGTGGCTCGCAGGCTCAGGTTCCTCTGGATTTCAAAGCTGCTTTCCCTAATGAAGCACACTTACGATAGACAAAATAAATGGTTTCATTTCTTAAAAAGTTACATATTCTGAGTGACTTTTAAAGTATGTAATTACAAGTCCATTCTAATTATCAGCATACACATATAATACATATTTAATATGCTGAGTGTAATTCAATATTCATGTCTCATTAGAATGTACAGCCTTGATACAATTACAATGACTGATCTTTGAACACGCAACATCACTTAGGAAAATAGTCCGGCTTCAATTATCCACCTAGGAGCTGGGCATAATTTTCCTATTTATCACAATTAGAGCTCTTTGAATCCATCTGAGATAAAACCAATGCTCACAGAGCATCTCTAATGAGACAGCTCTGGGTGAGGAATGTGTGAAATCACCTGGAATCCTACGACTCTCCAACAAGTTTGCATTAACCAAGCCTTCCCCTTCTTAAATATCGGAGACGGACAGTTCTTTCTTTTTTTCTGGATTTGAGCTGCTTTTTTTGTTTTGCTTATTTTCTGGGTTTGATAGGTTTGACCAATACTACCTTGAATTTTGTTGGTTTTGTCTATGGACACCTTTTAAAATCCAGTCATCAAATCTGCGGGCATCATGCACGAGCTTACTATCCTCCCATGTTTTTAGTGTTCATGCGGGCTTTGACAGACAGATAACTGACGGTAGTCCGAGACCAGAACGCCAAGGCATCTTCCAGAAAACCAGGCTGCCAGCACTCGCGGGCCCATCATCATCTCAGCTGTCCAGCTAAGAGCAGACTATTGCCATGTTCACATTCTGCATCTTCAGACAGTCACAAAGGACACAATGCCTGGCTGAAACACAGCTCTGTGCTCCAGAAGTATGCAAGCATGCAGCCTACTTTCTCTGTAGAGCAGGATGGGGATACTCAACTATGAAAAGGCACATTCTCCATGAATGCATGGTTGTCAGTGAACTCCAAAGAAAGCAGACTGTAACATACTGTTTCTCGATTTTGTAAAAGAGAGCACAAATGGTAAACAAGCACGTATTTTGGCTATGGTTTTTGTTGTTAACCAACGCGATGTAAACTGATGTTTCTGCTCAAACTAAAAATATTTATTTTTAATGTTCTAAAATCTGTATCACTTTTAATACTACTGACATAATTTATAAAGAGCAGAATTTTTTCCTCTAAAATTGCTCAAAAGGCTGCATATGAGCCTCTGAAGAGTACATAAAGCCATGAGAACATGGGTTCCCTTTGTAAAGATGCTACTTCACTGAATACGTGATTGCATGTGTGTTTCAATATGAACCATTTTTTTTTAATGTGGAAAAATCTACTCCCATTGGCCTCGTGTCTACTAATACAAAAGCACAGTGTAGCTCACTAGTCTGCAAATGAACCACCTTACGGCATGGGATTTTCAAACTGGTACACTGGGTTAGAAAGCAAAAAAGACAGATATATACACTTAAATTACTGTTAGAAAGGCCAGATGAGGAGCAGGAACAGCACAAGGGCTGCTGTAGAGACCACAGAGTCAGGATGCCTGGGAGGGGTGAACCTGGGGAAGCAGCTGTAAGATCCCCTCTAAGTACAGGACACAGGTTAGGAATCGAGGAATACAGCACGTGTCCTCACAGTGGTGCCAGCCTTGTGCAGCCCGAGCCCCCACATAAAACAACAGCAAAGATACAGCACACAGGAACCATAGACCAGAAACTGAATTTCAAAAAACAGTGGGAAGTTCAGGGTGTCTCAGCCATACCAGTGGTCCTGAAAGGGTTTGGGGCGTGGGACTTAAAAAAAAAAAAGCAACAAGTGGTCAAGCGGCTGGACACACCAGGGCCAAGGACCTCCAGCGAAAATCCCAATCCTGCTGCCCTGCATCCTGGCCCGACCTGCTTTGTCCTGCTCCAGGAGGTGGGTAGTCTCAACAGGCTGTCTGTCATAGCCAAGCTCACTCTTCTGTTGGCCCAGAACCTCTCTGTCACACTGGGCTACCTTTCTTATTGCAGTGGATTTCCTCAACAAGTGTGACCCCAGTGAGCGGGATCAGTGTGGGGGGTGTTGGGCTGGACAGTCTGTAGGTGAGAGAGTAAGACTGGAGCAGGCTGGGCACAGAGCTGGGTTCCCACAGGAAGGCTGGCATGCCCAGCTCTTCCAGGGGCAGGGGCATTCTATGAGAGCAGGACAGACTTTCACTTTGAAATGTGTCCCCAGTAGCTAGTATGGTGCCGGGAGCACGGCAGGAAAGGGACACAATGTTAGGAAGGAGATCCTATTAAGAAGCGAGGCTTCACGAAGCACCTGGGCCCAGACTTGACTGTCCTTGGCGGCGCTACCCTGACATGAACAAGCTGGACTCCCGGGAGGAGAGCGGGAGACAGGACAGTGAGGGAGTGCGGCACTGGATGGGAATGAAGTGGTGAAGGCCTAGACTAGAGAGGAAGCAGGGAACAGGGAGGTGGG